AATAAAAATCTATATTTAATTAAGCCTATAAGTTTCAATTTACATTTGACTCGTATTATATATATTATAAACTATATATAGTAAAAGTCAATGACTTTTCTTTGTTCAATCTGAGATTTATAAATCTTCCCAGACAGAAACTTCGTTACAAAAATTTATTAACGCACTTGCATATACACTTTGAAATCGTTCATATTTAATTTCGAACGATAGAATCGGTAGAAATTTCTAAACGAAACGAAGAATTTCGTTTAATCGATCAATCGATCAATAGTATCAAAGAAATGATACTAGTTTAGAGGATTATTTGGAAATCTTTTTGATCGAGTAAAGATAAAAATTTGAATTTTGAAATCTATCTGCTTCGTAAGGTCTTTGAAATTTTTTTTCAAAAATTCAATTTTCTGGACAGAACGAAAAGTGTGGTGGTACTTAGGCCTTTTTCTCGAAAAAATTTTTACAAAATATTTCATATATCTATCGATAGTGAAAATACACTTGTGTCGAAACGAGCTGATTCACATAAACTCTATTCTATAATTTCTGATTTCAACCTTGATCCTCCAAATCAGCACATCCCCTCAATAAATTTTCACGTATATACTTCGAAAACTCGTAAAATTCGTTATACAATTCTTTTGTTATGTCACGAAAAAAAAAAGGATTCTATTCTTCACTGATCCATGATCTTTATCGGGTGTATATATATATATATATATTCAGCCGCCATTTTTATATTATTATTATTTATTTAATGCAGTTCAAGAGCGTCGAAACGATGCTCTCAGTCTTTGAATAACACTATAATCTAAAGTACTATGTATAGTCATATTATATACACATATCCTATACATATACAGTATATTATTTTATGTATAATCATATATAATATACATATATCGATCGTATATATGTATATGTACAATCGAATGCATATCGAAACTCGTTCGATATACGATTTTCATTGGTACGAATACGAATCACTGGAGGCTTCCATCGAGGCTCTTGCTGCTATTTATCAAGCGCTCGCTATTATTTATAATACTCGATTCTAACTAGATTCTCTATGTATATATCTTAACCAGATCTTTCCATCTAGAACGAAAATGAGAGAGAGAGAAAAAAAAACTAGGATCAGTAACTATTTTAATAAAAAAAAAAAAAAAAAAGTAAAAGAATGCGAGTATAATTATATTGTCTAGTTAAAAATAAATATATATATTATATAATATATGTATATATATATATATATACCTGAACGAATGATTTGATTTTTTTTATTTCGAGAAAGCCTGTTTGGCTCCGATAATATTTAAACGTTATTAAAATTCTGATAAAAAATTTGTAAATAATTTACAAATTTTAGACATAATCCCTGTCTTTGTATGTATCCTCTTTATTTATTATCATCTTTACTTTTGTGATACCTTTTGTGCACCATTTAATTATAAAAAAAAAAAATAAGGAGTTTGATAAATAAATAAATAAATAAATAAATTAATTAATTATCGTTCCCGATCATCAATTAAATAATACCTATATTACAAATAATACCATGAAACATCATGACACTAAAAGAATATTACACTATTATAATCTTAAATTAAAAAATAAAACACATTGCTAAAACTATATACCTAAAGTGATCAAGCAACGAATAAAATTCAATATTGACTAGCTCGAAATATCATTCACCATTTGAGCATGATCCCAGACTCTCGTTGCACACTTATTAAATTCAATTCCAGAACAGGACCTCTTATTACTTATTGCTCGCCACGTAATGTCCGCCATGATGAAAACGACGTTTTCATCCTTAACTCTACGAAATTACAGTTTCTTTTCTTTTTTTTCTTTTCTTCTTTTTTTTCTTTTCTTTATACTTACGATTTAACTAATATCAAGTTACACAATGACAGTGATGATGATAATAATAATAATAATAATAATGATAATAATAATAATAATAATAATAATAATAATAATAATAATAGCAATCAATGTCTTTTTTTTATAATACAATTGTGTGATGAGCGTGGTCAGCGCGGATGATGAAATACGATAAAATTTTTATCCTCGAAATATAGAGTCCCTGAGCGACGATGGGTTTCTAAGTGGATTTACAAATTTTCGATGGCTCGCGATCGAAAGTAGGATCCGACGATGATCGGCCGGCACGCGGGCCGATCCTCAAGCCGGATGCAACGTTCTTAACTGAGGGTGATGGCGGAGGTAAATGGAGAATGTGACCAGGACGAAAATCAAGCTGAAAGAGTTTTTGCTCGACGCAGCGCCCGAATCCTCGTAATCGTCCTCCTCGTTTCCGCTCGTTTCTTTCCGGCCACGTAACTTCAGATCTGCAAAAGGAATTGCGTTATTCGAGATTCCGCTTCACTTATGGAAAACAGAATTTCGTGAGAAAAAAAAAAAAAAAGATTTACGAATTACGAAGGGTTAAGGTAGATTTTAAATATTTGTTCTTGATTCGAATTTTTTTCAGGATTGAGAATAATATGTGTTTTATCTTTGGAATCTCAAGAAATTCGATATTCATTTTTTTTTGATACAACAATGATTTTTTTTTACGATCCATCAATTTTTTTTAAGCTTTTTTGGAGTTTTTCATTAAAAATTTATGCCAAGATTCGAGCAGAATCAACATGAGAATTAACATTTTTCTTGGTATACTGTTAAGAAATTAATATAAGAGAGCAATTTTATCTTTTTGACATATTTCATAATTATTTACCTCTTTCTTTCAACATATCCTGATTTCCTTCGAAAATATCGTTTCCCGAATTATGCCTCAGTTTACCTGCAACAAAATTAAATTCACTCTTTTCACCATCTTTTTAAATCTGTATATTTTATTCGTTTCATTTCTAGAGAAAAAAAGGAGAGAAAAAGAGAGAATCGTGAATTTTTATCCCGTTCTTTTTTCTTTTGCGAGCGGGATACGAGAGTTGACGTTAAATACGAATGAAAATGGAAAAATGCGGTTGCGCTTCTGATCGCAACCGGAGAAACCGATCGGACGTTTCGTCGAAGTAGAACCTAAGTACGTTTCTCTTCGTGAAAAATGCGCTTGAGAATCGTTGTATTTCCTCGAGTAATGAGGAAGGAGGGAACTTAAGAACATGGGAGCCCTGTTGGAAAATGGATAACGTATAACGTACTAAATTGTCGCCACGATCGAGGAATAATTGACACGTTCCCCCGATACGTATTGATAAAAAGATTCGAGAAAATTCAATTCTACGTGTGAGAGCATGGAAATAAAATATCTCCTCCTAAAAGATCTAAACGAAAATCCAAAGGAAAATTAATTTAAATAAAATTATCAAGACGAGGAACCCAAAACAAAAATTTGAACAAAGTTCGAGTAAAATAAGATGTTTATCTAAGAAACGATCAATTTATTCGTAAGCAACTCCAGAAGAGAAAAAGATTTAAGAAAATCGAAAGGAAATCAATTTAAATAAAATTAATATCAAAACGAGGAACCTAAATAAATAAAAATTTGAACAAAGTTCGAGTAAAATAAGATGTTTATCTAAGAAACGATCAATTTATTCGCAAGTAACTGCAGAAGATAAAACCATTTAAGAAAATCTAAAGGAAAATCAATTTAAATAATTAAATTAATATCAAAACGAGGAACCTAAATAAACAAAAATTTGAACAAAGTTCGAGTAAAATAAGATGTTTACTTGGGAAGCGATCTATTTCTTCGCAAGCAAGTCCAAAAGATTTACGAAAATCCAAAGGAAAATCAATTTAAATAAAATTAATATCAAAACGAGGGATCTAAATAAACAAAAATTTGAACAAAATAAAATAAGATGTTTACCTAGGAGGAACGATTTCTATTTCTTCGCAAGATGCAATGGAATCGTATATAACCACGTTTCAACCAATACCTTGAAGATAATTAAAAAGTTTGGCTTAGGCATTGAAATATTTATCCCGCGTGGGCCGCTACCTTGCATCGCAATCTAGTGATTTTGTTCGTTAGTAATCTAGTGATATTTGCTCTAAATCCCGTGGCGGAGGGTACTCGTGCAGAGAAGAGCTCGGGCAGAGTTCAATAAAGTTGACCTATGGCCCGAAACGGCTCTATAAATCTTCCATCGAACGCAACGTCGCCTCTCAATCTGTTAGCATCAAAATATTTTGCATATATCGATTTCGGACCTTTCGACTGAGTACACGCAAATGCGGCTGGACACCGAGCCAATAATAAATCCGGGATTTTTCATTACGGTAGGGGAGCGAGGGGGGGGATAAAAACGATGGAATGGACGAATGTGTCCCCTTATTAAGAAAATAACGTAATTAAACATATGAATCGAAATTGATCGCGGAAATTAATAAAGATATCGATATTGAAATCCATATGCATGATATATCCTCCGCGATACCAATCGTTTTTCTTTTTTTTCTTTTTCCCCCAGATTAATCATTCGAATATTCATTTAATTTGCGCCCGATTTTAATAAACGTCGGACAAGCTTAGAAAGAACGTTAAATTTGAAAGAAACAAAAGGGTAAAGTATATTTGCTTTTATTAAAAATAATCTTTAATCTTACCTTTTGGGATTAATAAATTCGAAGGGGAAATTTTGAAATGAAATTTTTCACATTTGGTGGAAATGGAATGGAAGAAAAGTTTCAGTTAATTAAAAATGACGCGAAAATATATTTGCAAAATATTTTGTATAAATATATATATATAT